GTTTCACAGACTGGCAGCCCGAGGCTCCCAAACTAAAGCCCACACGGCTTCTCAGTGGCCCACACACCTGGCTTCCCCCAGGGAAAGAAGTCAACCTGGCTGCTGGGTGTGGGGGCACAGGTGGGGGACTTGGGGGATGGCGGACCGCAGCCTCCCTTCCGGGAGTCCCCCAGCATGGGGGAGCCTAGCTCCGATTGTCACAAGCCTGGTCTCGAGGCCCTGGAAAAGCCAGCATGCTGCCCATCCCTCTGGGCTCATTACAGACAGATTTTTTAGACAGCAGAGGGAATCGATGCTGTGTGGCATAGCGGCTCTTCAATTTGGCAATTACCACCACACACACACACACACACACACACACACACACACACACACACACTGGGGCAAAAAGGCCCAATTTCTGCAGTAACTCCGGGAAAATTTGCCTTGGGGATAGGGTGGATGTCCCGCCCTACTGCCCATATTATCTTTCCTCCATATTTTGCCAAAAATGCTCTCAAGTGAGGCCAAGAGGCGGTCCACGGGCTCCTTGGGTGTTTTCTGGACCTTTTGAAAGTCAGGTCTCTGGGGAGCATGTGCCTGAGCTGACAATGCTTTTCCTTACATAATCAACCTAGCACACAGAAGGGGTGGACTCGCTAGTCCCTCCAGAAAGTTCTCCGGATGAGGGGAGGGGAGGTGGAGACGAGCAGTTAAGCCTCAGAGTGATCAAGATCATGTTTTTAAGGGCATACAGGACATGCACCAGAGACTTCCATACAGAATTAGGACCTCAGGCCCGGACACGTGGGTCCACTATTTCATTCCACACGGAAAGGAAGCAAAGGGGTTACTAAGACAAGGCCAACCTAGCCCCACCCTCGGCTCACCAAAGCTGCCCTCGTTCTCCGGGGACCAGCTGGAGCTGGAAAGGAATTGCTATGTGGTCAGCTTGAGTTCAGAACCAACTGCAAGGTCAGGGGAGCAGAGCTGCTGGCCGCCACACAATTGCAGGAAGTGAGAGCGTCAGGAATCACAGGCCCGACCTCTCCACACCACTCTTGTGTCTTCCTAGAGGTGTTCTATGGTGCACTGGCCAGTGGTTATGGCGGAGAGAAGACCGTCAGATGGGGACAAATTGGGTGATTGGAAGTGCGGAGGGCACTGGTCACCCTGGAAGATTATCCTGTGAATCTGAGGGACGAGCGGGAGATCCCTACAAGGTCTGTGATGAGTGACTGAAATCACACACTGTCAGCCTAGCTCAGAATGGGGAAGTGGAATGTTCAAGAGGGCTGCTGGCACACTAACAATATCCTTGCACTAACCGTCTCCAGATGGCTCCCGCCATGCCCAGATCCCCTGCGCAAGAATCCCTGGGCATCAGAGGTTTCCAGATGGGGCCGCGGCCTCAGGCTCTCAGGTAGAAGAAAGCAACAGAGAAACAGAGACAAGCACGGACCAGCCAGATCCCAGAGGGACACACGGGACCCCCTCAGGGAAGAGGACTAGAGGCCAGGGAGGCGATGGGAGGGAGAGTTGAGGGTTCCTAGCTAATTCTGAGAGGTGCTGAGAAGTACCTATGTCCTAAGAATCCTATTCACGTACCTATTGGAGAAGGCTTCCCAGAACCTCCTCAAAACCAAGGGGGCGGAGCTGGGGAAGGAAATAGGGGAACAAGGCAGAGGCCCATAAGCAGAGCTCTCTGCAGGCTTAACATGAACACTTGTGTGAGGGTTCTGTGAAAGAGAAGCTCAAGGCCCCCAAGACTTACCTCCCACATCCCAGCTGGGGGGAAGAGGGGGCATGGGCTCCCCTAAAGACATCTGGAGTTCAAAACCAGGCCAGGGGTGGGCAAGGAGTAGGTCATCAAAATGTTAGAGAAAAGTCAAGGACCTCTGGATCCAAAGAGGCTGTCTGCAAACCCCATTCTGTTATTCCATGGTGCCACCACTTTTCCCAGGGGTCCCCTTCATGATGGCCATGTGTTGTTAGTGTTGGGCCTTTGTGTCCCCACCTGGCCCCACCCCTCTGTACAGCCACCTCCAACAAGCTCGGCAGAACACAGGAGAGGCCAAGTTTGGCCACAGAGACTGACAGCTATCATAGTGCCATTTCCGCATTGAAGATGAGGAGCCACTTAGAGGGTGGGAAGGCCTGTCACAAAAGCAGCCTGCACCCACCGCAAGAAGCCACGCCCTACCGGGCCTGGCCCTGCTCCCAGCAGGAGTCTTCAAGGCCAAGGCTACCTGTTGGCTGTCAGCCTAGGCCATGGGACCTTTGAGTCACACCTTGTATGGATGAGCCCCGGCCCAAGGAAGAACTGCAGCCTTATCAGAAGAACACAATGCCTTCTTTCTAGGCCATGCTGGGACAAGCTCAGGCCAACAGGTGTCAGTGCCCCAGGGCCCCAGTTCTGTTCAGATGCAGTGTTATCCTATGGAGGGCAGCCAATCAAGGAAAGCCTCTAACACTCTTTGTCTCTCACTAAACTGGCTTTGCTACATTTTGTTTAGGTGGTACCAGGATTTGAACTCAGAGCTTCACGTTCACTGGGTTTGCTGGCACTGCTGCCACTCTACTACCTGAGCCACACTTCCATTTTGCCAGTTATTTTGGAGACAGTCTCATAGACTTTTCCATCTGGACTGTCTTCTACTCTCTTTCAGCCTCCTACCTAGCTAGAATTACCATCTTAAGCCACCTGTACCCAGCCAATTGATTTTGCTAATCTTTTAAGAATCTCATATGTACTTTGAAAACCCACGGCGTTCTGCCTCAAAGTTTCCATCAGAAACTCAGCCAAGGTGCAAACAAATGACTGAGGGTAGAGCAGATAAATACAAGCTCAATCCCAAGCAGGGTGCTCCCGAGTCCTGCCCCTCCCCTTGGGACAGGCCTCCCGGCTCAGTTCTCAGAGATTGGACAGGGTCCTGGGTGAGTTTTCATTCCATTCTAAATGACCCAACCGGTGGCAAGGCTCCTGGGTTTGCTTGCCACTGGGAGAGAACTCACCAAGAGAGGAGATCTTAAGACAGGGCCCAGGAGACAAACCCATGGCTCTAGCGAGAGGGTCAGCTGTGTACTTGGATCTACACACGGGATGGGAAGAGAGAAGCGCAGAAGGCCCAGGTCTGTTCAGGCTGGTCCATGTCTATGTGGGAACCCCTGCTATGGGCTGGGTCCTGGACCCGATGGCAAAGCTCCAGGCAGAGCAGCAAAGTCCTCCTCTTCACCCTGGCACGGCTCCCGTCAGAGCCCAGGTCCACTGAAGAAGGCACAGGTCTCACAATCCCCATGCCACTGCCTTCCCCAGAGCACTCTCTCTTTGGAGATTCGCCAGCCTCTGCTGAACAGCCTCTCTCCCTGCCGGACCTCGGACCTGGGGCCGGCAGAGCCTGTGTGGCCTGTGCTTTCTGGGGCATTGCTTCCAGCAGCCGGGGACCCCTTTGAAGGCAAGCACCAAGACAGCCCCCCCTCGGCGCACCTTGCTTTTCTCGTGTCTCAGGCCGCTCAATCAAGACTTCAGCACTTCTCTACAGGAAGCACACAGGTTTGCCTTGAAACCCAAGAACGCAGCTTGGATTCAGATCCGCTCACTGGGTGCGGTGAAGCGGAGAGGACGGTGAAGGGGAGAGGACGCAGCACAGAGTGGGATTGCAAGGGTGTCTACAGCCCTCGGGGGGTCCGCCCCTGGCTGACCTCTGAACCTTCGGTTTTTTTTCTTCTTCTAGAATCTTCAAGGGACCCAAGGAGCTCAAGTACCCAGGAGACTCGTGCAGAAGAGCTGTTCTTGGGAGCCAGTAATTTGGACCCCCCCAACACACACACGCGCGCACACACACACACACACACACACATACACGTGCACGCGGTCTGCGCAGACAGGCGCCTCTCCCATCCCAGACAGGCAGGGGTGGCGCTGGGGACCTGCGGGAAGACTGACAGCAGGGGTGACAGACGGGAGAGTAGGGGAGGTGGTGAGAAGAGAGGAAGAAAAAAGAGCCGCAAATCCCAGCTTCGTCTACTAATTTGATGGAGGCGGTGACAGTGTTTCCCCGGGAGCCCGCCCGCCAGCATTCCACACGCCCAGCACCAAATCGCCTCCTCGGGGCGGAATCCGAGCGCGCGGCGGCGGAGCTCCCGCGAACGTCCGAGCCACTCCAGCTGTTCTCCTGGCGGGGCTGCCGGAGGGCGGGGGGGGGGGGGGGGGGGGGATGGAGACTTCGAGGGGGGAGGGCGGGCAGACAGAGGCGCAAAGGACGCCACTCCCAGCCCCAGCCGGCGCCGCGGCCGCCCGACGCCGCGCGCCCCCAGCGCGCCCCGGCCGCCCCTCCGGGCGAGCGCCGCCCCCGGGGCCGCACCCTCCCGGGGACGCTGGGCGACACTGGGCGACAGGGCGCGCCGCACGCGCGAGACACACGCCGGGCTCTCCCTGCGCGCGCGCGCGCGCGCACACACACACACACACACACACACACGCCCTCTCACACTCGGGAGGTGCCACCCGTGCCCAGGGCCAGGCTGGAAAGCGGACACACCCACGTCCCCGGGCCCCGCGCCGCGCGCGCCGCGCACGCGCTCACCCCCAGCACGCCACCCGCACGCCCGCCGCGGCGCGATCGCTCCCTCCCAGACACCCCGGACACCCTCACCCCCCCTCACACACACGTGCGCACACGCACCCCGAATTCCTGCCGCACCCACGGGCCGGCGGTACCAGGTGTGCCTCTGGGAGGGAGCCAGGTGTGTGACTCGGGCTGGCTCGCCAACTCCTCCCCAGCCCTCAGAACCCCACTTCCCGAGCTGGGGAGACAAAGTGAATGGAGACATGTCTTCTTTCTTCCTTTTCTCTAAGCGACACCCGCCCCGAGAGAGCTGCGACGCCGGCCTCCCTCGGCCCCGATCCCGCGCTGGCGCCGGGGTCCGCACGCCTGGCAGATTCCGGTGCCACGGCTGCCCAGGCCCCCTGTCCGCCCCTCCTCGTGCCCCGGGAGGAGCACGGCGTCGGACGGGCTTACCTAAGGCAGAGGAGAAGGTGAAGGAGCCACGGACTGGCAAGGGTGTTCGGCGGGGGCTGCGCGGCCAAGGATGCGCGGCGGGCTGGCGAGGTTTGTTTACGTGGGGCGGAGGGCCACTTTATAGGCGCCGCGGCCCCGCCCCGGAGCCTCGCCCCGCCCCGGCTCGCTCCGGGCCCCCACGGAGCGGGGACACACCCCTTCCCCGCTCCGCCCCCCGCAGCCGCGCGCCCGCCGCCCGCGGAGCCGCCGCCTGTTGCGCAAGCGGAGGGAGGGGCGCGGCGGGCGGGGCGGGAGGGGCGCGGCGGGGCGGGGCCCGCCGGGCCAAGCTTTGTGGTCCTCACCCCCACCCCCCACTGCCGCGTCTCCGGGTCTGGGACGTTGGCCTGCGCCTCTCCCGCGCGCGCTCGGAAGCTGTGTGCGTGTCCGTGTGCACGCTTCCGTGTGTGCTCCGGTGTTGTGTGCATGTTCGTATGCACGCTCACGCGTGTGCTTGTGCACTTCGTGTGGCCTTGGGGCGGGGGTCCCCATCTCTGCCTGTAGATTCTTTCCCGCTCCCCCTCCCCTTCCTGAAGGCCCAGTGCAGGGAGACTTCTTCCAGGTCTCCAGGTCTTCCCTTCGTTCGGCTGCTTTCCCAGCGCTGCCACTTCCACATCTGCCCACCACCCACGGAAATCCTTACTCCCTTTCCACCCTGCCATCTTGCCCTCCTTCTCCTTCCCAATGCCCCGCCCTGCCCCTCCCAGTTCTAAGCGCACCCACATTGCATTCTCCCCTGCCCTGCCCTGCCCCTGCCCCCTGCAGGCCTGCGTCTGGGGTTTTGTGTAACTACCGCCTGTCTTCCTCGCAGTGCCAGACCAAAGAAAGCCTCCTTTCTGGGCCCTGACTGTATCTGAGGAGCTCCACCGAAGCTTTGCCTTAAAAGGTGGAGCCAGGGCTCCACCCTAGCTAGGCCGCCTAGATCAGAGTCTCGGGGAGTGTAGACAAGGCCTGGTTTTTAAGAGCTCCCTAGGTGGGTTCTAACACAAAGCCACGTTGAGAATCACAACACTGGAGAAACATGAATAAAGATTCAGACTCACAGCCACTCTGCCCAGGGTGGTCATCTTGAAGGCCTCCCCCTTCCCGAAACTCCACTGAACTGTGAACATCTTTCCTTCCCCAGCTAGGACTGTGCTTCCCTTTTTGCTTCTGGTTTCCTTCCCTCCCTAGGCCCTGGCCTTTAGTCTGCTCTGAGCCTGGTCTCTGCTCAGCCACTTAGAGAAGCCTGAAAGGCAAAAACCCTTCCTTCCTGAGTGTGGCAGACTCGATTTCCCCACCCACACACCATAGCTAAGCTGAGGGCATTCGTGCCTCAGTTCCACTCTAGACCCAGAGGAATTGAAATGAACAAGTTGACATCCTTAGCAGCCAGTCTATCAGACTGTGCCTCCTGCTCCCACTTCTATATTTCCATTTTCCTAAACCTCCCTGTTTGGTTTTTGAACATCACTTACTGAGCACTTGTGGCATGCTGTCTACCAAAGATGTGGAGCACTGAGTTTGCAAGGATGGAGGAGGATGCCCACTTCTCCAGGTACAAATGGAGACCTGGTGTGGGCATTGAGGAAGAGCATTTTGCCAGGACAGAGCAGTTCCCATCCCTTTGAGGAAGTCTTCCTTCCCAGAAGGCTCACGGCAGCCTAGACCAGCCACTGAAGCCTAAGATTGTTGCTAGTGGTTGCTGGGTTTGGAAGCTCTACCTTTTAGATGGTCATCAATATTGAGTAAGTCAAGAGGCAGGGCAAGAAAGATAAAACCACTTGTGTCCCTATCTTGGGATTCATTTCGCTTAACATCATCTTATATGGTCATATGTTCATAGCTTTTGACCTTTTCTGCTTGTCCTAGACTTATACTAGTTATTGCAAATAAGGGAACCCATGGGATCTATGTTTCTTTGGGATTTTTTGTTTCTTTTGTATGTTCTTCCCCCACGGTATAACCCCTGTTTTCAATGTATTTGATTCCAGTGCCCTGCATCTTGTACATACGTGTTTCTAATTTGGGGAGGAGAAGGGAAATAACAAAATGTTGAAATAAGGATATAGGTTGACCCATTGTAACAATGAGATGTACAAGACACTATGTTGAAAATGAACTTTACACTTTGTAAAATTGGGGAGGTGGGGAGGGAAGGGATGGTAGGGGAAAAACAAAGGAGGAGGTAACAATGCTCGATAGGAAATGTACTCATTACCTTACTCATATAACTGTAACCCCTCTGTACAGGATTTTTACAATAAAAACATTTTTTTAAACAAGAGGCAGGGCAAGAAGAATGGAGGTAGAAGATCAGAGAGAAAGCAGGAATCTCAGCAGTGAGGAAAGTACCATTTAGATCCACTCTCTCTCTCAAGAAGCTGGCTCACCCAAGGTTCTTGTCTTCCTGAGTTCTTCTACTGAGCACCAGATGAAGTTGTTGCCTATGTCTGGTTAAGATGGCCACGTAGCCAGGAAAACCCTGATTTAGTGCCACTCTGGATGTGCAGCCAGGGTGGGCGATGACTGGGAGGTTCCCTGGGGAGCTGAGCATTGCCCCCACCAGCTGAAGCAGCAGCCAGCTGAAGCAGCAGAAGCTCCCAGAGCTGACTGTGAGTGCAACCACATTGAGCTGTGGAAGTCATTTCTCTTTCCCACTGGTCAGCAATGGAATTAGATTTGCTGAGTGGATGCACATACACTGCAAATTCACCACAGAGTGAGATTAGATGTTTTACACTCATGTCCCCTGGAATTTTCTATTTAGCAACACTTTAGTTGTGTGTGTGTGTGTGTGTGTGTGTGTGTGTGTGTGTGTGTGATGATACTGGGGCTTAGGACTCAGAGTACTAAGGGCACTCAGGTCTAAGGGTACAGTCCCTTAGCTTCTCTTGCTTAAGTCTACTCTACTACTTGAGCCACAACTCCATTTCTGGCTTTTTAATGGTTAATTGTAAGAGTCTCAGGGCTTTCCTGTCTGGGCTGGATCCTTCATATTCTCAGATCTCAGCTTCCTGAGTAACTAGGATTACAGGCTTAAGCCATTCACATCTGGCTACACATTAGATTTCTTAATCGCCATGAGGATCGTCTATTCTCAACCCTCTTGCTTAGAATCTGTGATTACTCTGATTTGGGCGTGAGCAGGGGCAACTAGGATCCACAAGGAAGAGCACAGAGTTTTTAGCTCAGGAGCTAAGTTGTATCACTTCAAGCTGATGCCCTGGGCAGGTTACCACACCTCTCTGTGCAGAGAGGAAATGGCTGAGAGAAATCACCTGGCTTTCCAACCAAAATTTAGTGAGCAGACTGATAGAGCCTTAAGTTCTTTTCCCTCTGGATGTAATGAAGCACCCCAGCTCTGCTATTAGGCTCGCTCTAGATCTTCTTTCTCTTCCCAGTTCACAATCTCTCTGATTATTCAGGCCACCATGACCACAAATGGCACATCCTAAACGGGACCACTCTGGATACTAAATCCCCTCCAACCACTATAGCCCAATGCTTCTCATCCTTTCTGGTTGTAGCTTCTCAAAACTAGTGTCCCTGCACACAGCCCCACTTCCTCATCTCCTCTTCCTTTTCCTCTGTACTGTCTAGTTTAGCAAGTTCCTCTTGGACCTGGTTGAATAATTTTACACAACCTGTTAGGAAAAACAACAACCCTCACTTCCCTGAGTCCCTCTCCCTAACAGCTACTAGTGTCATCTCTTTGAGGATCACTTGCGTCTTATCTCTGCCACTCTCAAGCTCTATATTTTGGGGTGAGTTAATTTTCAACCACGGCCTTCTTATTTATATGATATACCTAATACTAGAAGTAAATCATAGGGTCATTGGTTTATGCAAGTGTTTTGTATACAAAGAGTGCTTGCTTTGAAAATGTTAGCCACCAGCACAGTAGAAGGACCTTGTCCCAGTCTCCCTGTTATCTCCCAAGTGCCTGGAGACCTTTGAAGAAGTGAGGAAAACGCAAGTGTTCCCCTGAGACATCCTCCTGCTAGATCCAGAAGGGGACTTGGATTGCTGGGTGGAGTAGAGGAGTCTTCTACCTGTCTCCTGATCCTAAATCCACTTCCGGGCCTTCAGGTATACCTCGCTACCTATGCAAATCACCCCAGTTCTCTAAGGCAGCTGTGAGCCAAAGGAAAAGCAGTGAAAGGAAATCACTTCCAAAGGAAGTAAGATGGTAGGCCAGGTTCAAGATGCAGAATAAATCCTTCAAGCAACAAGATAAGGCAATGTTTGATCATCATAAAGCAATGCAACCAGGTAATGGTGGCTCACACCTATGATCCCAGCTCCTCAGAGGCTGATATATGAAGACCACAGCTCGAAGCCAGCTAGGGCAAGACAAGGAAGTCTGTGAGACTTTGCTCTATTAAACATAAAAAAAAGCCAGAAGTGGAGGTGGTAGAATACCAGCCTTAAAGAACACTGGGACAAGGCACAGTTCCTGAATTCAAGCCTCAGTACTGGCACGCACACGTGCGTGCACGCATGCACTCACACACACACACACACACACACACACACACACACACACACGCTTTTCTTCACTCCTGGCTTGTACGAGCATTCACGGGTGGTTAAGCAGAACAAAGCCCCACAGACTGGGAGCTCAAAACCTCAAAGTTTGTTCTCACACTTTTACTTTTCTGGAGTCAGAAGTCCAACATCAAGGTGTGGGCAGAACCGCCTCCTGCGAAGCTTTAGGAAGATTCTGTCCTGACCTTGTCTAGTTCTGGTGTTGTTAACAGTCCTTGATGTTCCCTGGCCTAGAGATGCTCTGTCATCCTAATCTTGGGACTGTGTGTCCCCTCATAGAGAAGCCTTCTTCAATATGACCTCATCCTAGCTAATTACATCTCAAAAATCTACCTGTGAAGATAGTATGGCTTGAGCTCTTGGGGTGGACATGTATGGGTGGGTAAGATGGATTAGCACACATCTGCAGTGAATCTGCAGGAAGACCTGCGAGGACATCCCTGATGTCACAGCTTTCCTGAAATCCTGCCATGACTCTCGTTCAGCTTCCTGCCAGCTGTGCACTTCAGTGCCATGACCCACAGCTCACTGCATC